AAAACCAAAAACAAAACAAAAACTTTATAAAAATATCTTGCAGTAAATTTTAAAGTTTACAGTAGCTTCGTGATTAAGTCTCCCATTGCCCTGACTCCACCTTRTCTTGCTCTGATGAACTAAGTGCCAGTGATTTTGCACACACACACACACATACACACAGAGGAAATAAAACCCAATATAAGTCTCTTTTCTTCCTCCTCTTCATCTTCTTTTTTTTTCTCTTTTTTTTTCTTTTTTTCCTTTTTTTTTAAGAAAAAAATCACCCAAGCCAACAAATGAAACTGGTAACTTAAAAGAAATAATAATACTGATATCAATGCAGCACTAACAACACAACAATTGCCTCTAAATGCAGGGTGTGGTGGAGGATCCAGCTGGTTGAAGAAGGTCCCAGCACGGTGGCACAGTGGCAGGGAGTTGACAAGTGGGGAGGAAGGTGTTGAAGGAGGAGCAGCAGCAGCAGCAACTGTGCCTGGTGACGGGAGAGACAGTCCTTGGCAGAGTCTTGTCCCTCTTCTTTGCTACCAGAAGTTGCCTTTTCCCTAAGTTTTAATGTTTTGTTTGTATGTGTTTATTCATTGAACCCCCTCTCCCTCCTATGTTTACTCCTTTCCCCTTCCAGCAGGTTAAAAAGCAAAATGATACAGTATAAAAAAAMCAATTAGTTTGTGTATATATATATGTATGTACGTATGTATATTTATACATAAATATACACACATATATACATGTATATACAAAAAAAGGGGGCAAAAGAAAAGGAAAAGGTGGTGGGGAGAAGAAAAAAAAAAAAAAGATAAGAAAATCCCGTGATGAAGCTCCCCAATATTGTCTTGGTTCAACGCTTAGTTTGAGTTGCTCGTGGCTGGTTTCTGATGAGAATGCGCTCTGGATTCATGGAACACTGAGCTCCCGCTACACCCGTCTCCTTCCCCACACCCTCCCTCTCCGGGCTGCGTTCACCTGCGCGGACAGAAGYTGCCAAGGGTAAATAATTCACTCCAACAATTTGCAACCTCCTTTGAGCCCAGACTCTGCAATCCCATAACTGAGCAGATCTCTCTTGTGGAGCACCAAAAAAGAAAAAGAGAGGGGAGAAAAAAAACCAGGCGTGCATTGGGGAGGTGTTTGGGGAGAAGTGGGGGAGAAGCCCACTTCCTGTAGGGAGAGGGGAGGCTGGGAACCTCAAACAGGACTGGTCCTTGGACAGTCTACATCGGTTGCCTTCCGTCAACAAGTGTCCGCAGAGCACAGAAGGTGAAGCCGTGGCTGACATGTTAACTTTTCGGGATAATTCCTGGTAGCAGAGCGGAAACAAGTGGTGTCGTCAGAAACACAGAGAGAGCATGAACAGAACAAGAAACAAAACAAAAGAAAACCAAAAAAAAAGAAAAAAAAGAAAAAACCCAAAAAATCAGGAAGGAGAAAAAAAGCAAAACATTCAAAAAAAGGGAGAAAAAAAAAACAATTGAAAAAAACCACAACCCAAGATCTGGTGAACTGGGTTTGTCATCTGTGCTACCTTTTCTTTTCTTTCTTTTCTTTTCATCCTTTCATTCGTTTGTTTTTTGTGTTTGTTTCTGAGATATATATTATATATCATATATAAATATATATATGTATATATATACAGTCATTCCTTCATACAAAATTTGTCTATAGACAGTTTTGTACTGTTGTGGCAAGGTATATACATCCTTCTAGTTTAGAGGCTAGCTTGCTAAGGAATATTCTTTCATTCTTTCTTGCTTTTTTTCTTTTTGTTTTGTTTTGTTTTTTGTTTTCTGTTTTTTTTTTCTCTAAGTTATTTAATTTTTTATGTGTTTATTTAAGGTTGGTCTTGTAGGCCGACTGATGAGACCATCTTTGCCTTGTCTTTGCCAGCAGGGTACTTATTGTCTCCTCTAGACCCATAGTCATTAGAACCGGAATCGCTCCGCTTGCTGTTTGCGCTATGCTTGGTTGGCGTGCCGGGGGGATGGCTCACCTGCCCGTTCTTCTCGTCTGAAAAAAGTTGTTTAATTACGTCAAAGAAGTTACTCAATGGGCTGCCTGGGTACACAAAACAGAGGAGACAAAAAAAGAAAGAAAGAAAGAAGGAAAAAAAAAAACGAGAGGGAAAGAGAGAGAAAAAGAGGAGAGAAAGAGAGAGAACAAACAAACAAATGAACAATGGGGTTTTTAACGAGAAGAACATGATGAGGAGATCCAGAGCCATGTGCGTGGGGGTGTGTGGGGGATGAAGACAATGAGCAGGAAGAGGAAGAGTGTTTAGGATGGGACACCTACAGAAATAAATAGCCTGGGAGCTTAAAGCACCTAGGGGGAAGGTCCTAGTTTTTTACCTGAGTGGGGATGCATTGGTGTCTCACCTAGCAGGAGGACACAGTACCATGTGACTGAAATAGGTCAGTCCATTACTAGGATTCACTTGGTCACTCCACACGGAAATGTCAGTGAATGTAATGCTGGACACAGGCAAATCACATCCCACTGCTGATGTTACAAACATGGGATATTTGCATGTGGCTGCCCATCAGTGCTTTGCTTTGCAGCCTTGCTAAACTCTCTGTCTACACCAGGCATTAGACTTTTCTTGCTTGCATTTTATTTCGTTCTGAGTATGTCCTTGCCAACTTATCATGACTAAGCCTGAAGCACCTGAGGGTTCAAGGGAAATAGCATTTGGAAAATGAGCAATGGCTGAGTGTTGCCATCTGCAYGTTGGTCTGTGGTCTGTACCTGTACAGACTTCTAAGCACCTTCAGATGCTCYCTACAACAGGTGCCCGGAAATGAAGATGTGGAATGTGGAAGAAGGCKATTATGCATCTGCCTATTTCTGGGACCTGGCACGGTCAAGACCTACTACCTCATTGTCCTGAATTCATGCTCTTTCCAACACAGACTCCATGGCACTGACATGCATTCCAATGCAGTTAGGAGCCAGAGAGGGAGGTACAGTTGTGTGTGACTGGAACAGGCATCTGTTTAAGACAGCCCCTAGATCAGGCTGCAGTGTTAACAAGGACTGGCGCATGGAAACAACCTTTCATGCCATTTGGAACTCCAGGCAACAGGGTTATATGCTCTTAATCTATGTGTTAGAGGATTATGTGGAAGGCCATACCTGAGAAAAGGCTCTGAGGTGCTACCAAGGGACAGGGATCWGCTACTTGTGGAAATGTAGCCTTTTGGGGAATTTCTAGTCCCTTTTCATTTTCTTGGATTGGGGGATTAATCTTCATCGAACATAGGAGGAGTCACACCAAACTCCTTGAATGTGGATATTGAAGGTGTTTTTTATCTGATGTACACCATGGAAGTGATGCCTGTTCATGATCATTAAAACCCCATGAAGGTTTTCTCAATATTGGGACTGTTGGCTCTAACATTTTATCCAATTCAAATAATTTCTAGCTCCTGGAAGGAAACGGGCTCCAACGAGATAGAATACTGTGAAGAGAGRAACCTTTCATCCCCAAGATGGGAACATTCTCTCAGGAGCAGGGGGCTTCCTCATAGCAGAGACTGCTGCACACTGRTGGCCTGGTAATTCTGTATTTCCCTTCACTTTCATTCCAAACAKAAGCAACCCAGTAACTACAGCAGCCAAGTACTTTCTGTGCACAGCAATTCCACTGAAGAGCTTGTTGAGTACTTTCTTAYTCTCTAAAGCAAAATGCTAGACAGACATCAACTTCTCACACAGGGAAAGAGCAAACACATAGTATTTGTTCTCTGCAAAACTGAATGTGTTACTCTGTTTTCCTGCCCATGCTAACTAGGTAGCTGCTGCTTTCCTCTGCTTGTTAGCAGGCATTGAGAAAAATCAAATGGCTGGCAAATACATAATCGTACTAATCTAATTCACTCCTTGTCTTCCTGTATCTGCTGCTTCGTGGTTAATGTTTTGCTTGCCCTGGTTCTGTCCATAACTCAGTTACACTAAAGCCAAAAGCAACAGGCTGTGACTTTCKGGAAGGGCATAATTCCCCAACTGACTGAAGCCTTAATGATGGGCACAACCAACCATCCAGGCACATATCTCAGTTTCTGGCTACGAAGAGAAAAGCTATCACTAATCTCASCCACTTTGGGGTCAGACCTCCTTGAGCTCCACCTGCTCCCTCCCACATGCACACAGATACTTGGGAAAGGGGATACCTGTTCAACATCTATGACTTCTACATCAGAGATTTCCTCCGCCCTAAAACTGTTTTAGGTTTGTGGGTACACACTCTGCGCAGACTCATTTTCATCTGCTCAGTCTCATTTCTACTTCTTTTATGTGGATATCATTTTTCAATGTAAAGAGAAAAAAGAAAGTAAACACTCAGCCTTGAATGCAGGAATGTGGGCAGATCTGGTTCTCRGGTGGCTTTGGACCCCTCATCTTCTTAAGCAAATGGAGTCAGCAGAGAGAATGAAAAAGAGCACTGAAAAAAATGCTGGAGAGGAAAAGACTGCTAGGTTGGAAAAAAAGAGTAGCGGAATATCTCTAGTTATTCAGCTGAGCAGTTTATTTAACAAGCTTAGAGGAAAAGATGAGGGCAGAGTAAGCAGGGCTCTGCAGGAATTGGAGAAGTTTTTTGTTTTYGTTAGACAGGAACAGTGACAAAAGTACAACTTGCAAGAATGGAGCAATAAAACACTTTAGAAATGATACATCTTGCATTTGCGGATCCTGATAGTAGGATTTTTAGTCATCCTACTAAAATATGCAGCCCATGTTTCATCCACCCTTTCTCCTCCCCATGCCCTACCGGTTTTCAAGTGCCTGGAGATTTATTGCAGCAAAAGTATTTAACAGTCTGCTTTTCTTTGCCTGTATCACTACTGGATTCCTTACAATCAGCATTTTCAGTTAAAATTTTAATGGGAGGTAAGAAAATCCTTAGGGAKGTTTTGAGAGCTACTGAAAACTAAAATAGGCCATTTCACTAACCCTTTCCTTCCTTCGCCTTTTGTACTTGTAATCAAATAGTGTAATAATGCTCTCCTGTCCTGGCAGTCCAGAAAAAACTGATTCTGGGCTGATGTTCACACTGCTCTTTGGATGGACAAGGAGTCCTCACACTTTTTCTCTGGAGATACACAAGAATGGATCAGCTATGCTGGAAGCACGAACACGGTGCAGGGTGTTGCTCCTGTTAGTTCTCAGCTCCCTTTGAGGTTATAAATCCAGTAAAATAAGACTTGAAAATGCAGGTGATGATGGATTAGAATAGGTTTTTCAGCAATCTTCCATGCCTAGCATTCAGTGCAAATTGTGTCACAGGCTCTTACATCTGTAAGTCCATCAGGGGGTCTCAAAAAAGCTGCCTTTCTTATTTCAAAAAGTGAGATGACATCCCATTTCCTCTRGACAGGGATGAAGGTTTGGCTCAAATTCTTCAGAACATCCCTCGTGTTCCATGCACAGACTAAGGTCTTCTTTCGCCTTGAGAGCAAATGTTCATCAACACAGAGCAAAGAAGGTGTAAAGGGTAACAAGGGTGAGAAACCGAGAGAAGGATCAGAGGCAGGAGGGGAGGCTCAGAGCATTAGGTTTATGTCTGTTAGGAGGAGATGGATATGTGCAGTTTTGAGTTAGAACAAGGAGCTGTTTGCTGCAAGATGGGGAAGGGGAATGGGTTTGAAAACAAGCACCGAAGCTTATGAAAGGGTCATGTATTGAAGGGATGATGAGAGAAATATATTTATGGAGAAGGAACTAGTTTGTGGCACCAGTGTGCAGCACTGTCATTGCCAAGCATCATGAAAGAAGTCAAAACAATGGATTTGAATACAAGCACTAAAAGGAAGAAACTAGGCTAGAGACAGAAATATAGAAGGAAGCTGGGCAGGCAGTTTGTATCAATCCTCACAGTTCCCAGTACTTTGCTGCTTTTAGGAAGCCTCTCTGTCACTGACTTAGCCCCAGTGGTGCCACCACTTTGAGAAGCCAAGTGGAACTGGAGCACTCAGGGAAGAGAGGAAGGAGAAAATGAGGTGAATCACTCCAGGCACAGCAGGTGACACCTGGAAAGGATGTCCTTTGCAAAGACCCTGCTCTGACCTTGTAAAGACCCTCAGAGTCCTCCACAGAACATAAGAAGAGGTGGTGAACAAGTAACTTCAGGACAAGCCTGGAGGCTTCACTTACTGATTAGAGCCTGCTATTTTGTGACATTTTAAAGACAGTCAGATAAGAACTTGACCCTCTTTTCATTGAAGCAAACAGSAACATTCCACTGATTTCACAGAAGCAAACTTGAGGTACTTCCTTCTCCTGTGAAACCATCTCTCTGAAGTCTATGTATTGTTAATGCACTAATCCTTGTGGTGCTGAGAAGTTGCACAAAACAAATATGCCATCTGTGGGATTATCTTCTGCCTTTTCTTTCTGTACAGACTCATATATTTTGGGTTTCTGTGTATTTATCTTGGGCTTTGGGAGAAAGTAAATTGGAAAACACAGGTCTCCACTGGGAACAGACACCTTTTGTCAACCTGACTTCCCTTATTTCTTCCCTCGTTGCTTTCATRTCCTTCCTGATTGTCTTCTGCCTGYCTCTGCTGYTGAGGTTTTCTTCCTATACTCATTCCTTACTCTTTACCCTTGTCTTTTTCATCCCTAGGTTGCTCTGTGTTTTGATASCAGCTGTGGTTTCAGTGAACCATGTAACAAAAAAACAACTCTTTTCACATAAAGCATTGAAACACTCTCTTAATGGGTGATAATCCATTTCCTTTCAAATCCATTTTGATACTTTCATGGAGTTCTAGCCCTCTTTGTTAAGATGAGGCATTTTTTTTGTCTGTTTGCTTGGTTTCTCTTGGAAAAGTCCCTTCTGTCTTTCAAAAACAAATGACTTAAAATACAGAACTCACTCCAAGAGTATATGCAGTGAAAGGGATGACAGAAAGATAAAGTGGCCCATTCCTCTTTGTTTAGTTGTGGTATCATGTAGGAATGTCCCTCCAGACTGAAGAGGCCCCAGCCTAGGCACTGTGCAAATCCAAATACGACAGATGCCTCACCCAGCTCACTAACTACTGACAGTCCAT